TGCAATGTCACTCTGATCTGACCAGAGTCGCTTATGCGCTATAAGAAGAAAATCTGCTTCTGATCTACTCACATTTAGAAAGATCCTAAGAAGATAATATGTTGTTACTACAATGTTGTCTTGGTTTCTGCCTATGAACATGACTCTGATATTTTACTTCTGAAGGTTTTCCAGCTTCTGAAGTCATGATCTTCTGAACACTAAGTGTTGAAGACTCTAAAGACAAGGTTATGATGAACAAAGTTCTGAAGACTCTGAAGACTTGAGTTTATGAAGATTAAGTGTTGAAGAATCTGAAGACAAAGTTCTTTTGAACGACATTCTGAAGACTATGAAGGCTTAAGTTACTAATGACTAAGGGTTCTGAAGACTGAGTGCTTAAAGTTCTGAAGACAAGGTTCTGGTGAATAAGTTCTGAAGACTCAAGACTCTAAAGACCCAGTGATCAACTCTTCTACTCATGCTTCAATCATTTCTAATCATAAGCCTCTGATGTACAGAATATAAGCTCATACGTTTATAAGGGAAAATAGTACATAGTACGTTTCAACATTCCATTCCACTACCACTCCACTACCCTGATTTGGTGGTACAAAGGACAACTTTTGTGTACGATTTTCATCCCTGCGTAACGAAATTATTTCAAGTTGCCAGCTACCAAAAAGGATATTCCTGATCTTCCCTCCAACAAATCTTTTTCTGGCTATATAATGACTTGAAGAAAGTATGAATGATACAAGAGATTGACATAACGATTCATACAACGAAAAATGAGTATCGAAGAAGTATGAATATTCTATGAAGAATTGAATCTACAGTATTAAAGCACCACAATAAAAAGAAATAGCATTATTCATACTGTGATAGTTTCTTTAGAGCTTTTAATAGTGTTTATATTTGCTTATGTAGAAGCAAATTAATTGTAAACATTTTTGTTCAAACTGTTATTTGTAACTCCTTAAGGGACCTGTTAGGTAAGAATCCTTAAGAAGAGATAGTTAATCTGTGTTGTTAGTCACCAGCGGTTGCTAGTGCAGATTGTATTTCCTTAAGGGACCAATTGGGTCAGAATCTTTAAGAAGAGATGGTTGTTTGTATTGTTAGACACAAGCGGTTGCTAGCGTAGTGTAATCAGTTGATTATAATGGATTAAGTCCTTGTGTATAAGGCAGAATCACCTTGGCAGGTAGACTTGATTAGCTTGATAGTTTTCAAGTGAACCGAGATATATCGTGTGTCTTTTTCTCATGATTAGTTTATTTGTGATCTTTGTTTGAGTTTCACAAAAAGCTTTCATTTTTGAAAATCCAATTCAAACTCCCCTTTCTTGTGTTTTCTCACACCTTCAGTAAGCATCTCGTTGAGGGATTGTATGGATTTATTCGACTTTGGCTTGGGGAGCTCAGAAAATGCTTGACATTTGTCAGGATTGGCCGTGATCCCCCTCTCAGTGTGGTAGAAGCAAAGGAACTTCTCGGCTCGCACACCGAAGGTGCAATTTTCCGTGTTAAATTTCATTTTGCACTTCCTTGCTTGGTCGAATACGTTTTACAAGTGGAGCGTATGATCAGATTCCTCTTGGAATTTCACGATCATGTCATCCATGTATACTTTGAGCATATCCCCAATTTGTGATCGGAAGATTTTGTTCATCATTTGTTGGTACGTGGTCCCAATGTTTTTCAGACCAAAGGGCATTACGTTGTAGTAATAGTTGCCCGATGAGGTCATGAAAGCGGTGTACCTCTTGTCCTTTTCTGACATGGGAATTTGGTTATATCCCAACTACGCATCTATGAAGGACAAGAGTTTGAAACTGGAAGAATTATCTACTAACTTATCAATGTTAGACAAAGAATAAGCGTTTATCGGGCAAGCCCAATTGAGATCGGTGTAGTCAATGCACATCCTCCACTTTCCATTATGTTTTTTTAACTAATACAAGATTGGAAAGCCAGGTTGTATACCTGGCTTCCGAAATGAATCTTTCCTCTAAGAGGTCTTTTACAAGTTTTTTTGCCACTTCTGTCTTCTCATCGAATTATTTGCGTCTGCGTTGTGCTACTGCTCGAACCGATGGTTGGATAGTGAGCTGATGGCATGCGATTTCAGGATCGAGGTCGGGCATGTCTGCGGCACTCCAGGAAAATAAATCTGCATTATCTCTTTGGAATATCTTCAGTTGCTCTTTCACCTCTTCGGGCAGTCCTGCACCTGTCCTGACTCCTCTGTTGGGGCGGTTTCCAAAAGTGGTCACTTCGAAGTCCCCGTCTGGTACTGGGCGCATGACAGTTGCGGCAGGGGAACTACCCATCGATGCTGGAGTGTCTTTGTTGTTGTCCTCCTCGCCCTCTTCTGAGATTCGGCTGTCGAGGTCAATGGTGTGGATCTGGAGTGCTGGCTTTTTCTCGGGTTGTCTCTCTTTGCTGGGAAGTTCTTCGTCTCTTGCTCATTTGACGGCTTGTGGTGTGGTACCAATCGAAACTCTGCCCCCTGGTAGTTGCCTCGAAATATCGTCTTGCGGATTCGATGTCTCCGTGTAAGTTGGCAACGTGGCCCTTCTCGGTGTAGTATTTCATCTTGAGATGAACTGTGGAGGGAAAAACGAGCAAGGGTTGGCCTCCCTAGAATACACCGGTACAAAAAGGGACAATTGGTGACTAAGAATTGTGTCTTAATTGTTTTGGACGCCTCTTCCTCCCCGAAGGTGACTAAGAGTTCCACATACCCCTAAGCCCTAGCAGTAGCCCCATTGAATCCCTACAAGTCTGAGCCCACGTAGGGAGACAAGTTCTTCTGATCGAGCTTAAGGACGTGGAACAAGCTGGTATACATAATGTCTAACGAAATCCCTTGGTCGACAAGGATTTGATGAACATCTGTGTTGGTCAATCTGCATCTTATGTGTAGAGGGATGTGCGTGTTAGGGGAGCCTTCAGGTAGCTCTTCACGATAAAATGTGATGGGCTGAGAGCATCCTCAAAACTTCTCAAGTGTGGACAGCCGGTTAGGGCTACAATCGATCAGTTGGTTAAATTTCCTCTTGACTTGTCCTACCGTGAGCTCACTATACCCACCACAGGAGATGAGCATCATCGTGGGGAAGGCCTCCCAGGAGCTGTGTGTGGCAAAATACGGAGGGTCCTCGAGATAGTCGGGGATAAAGAAGTCTTCTGGTCATGAAACAGACATGGCCACCTATGGGGGAGGACTAGAAAGCGAAACTATTATTTCCATCTTCTTAGACTCGAACGTCTTTCACCGGGGGCTTCTCCCTTCTTCGTGTATTGTTCAAATGGCCCTTCTTGATGAGGATCTTGATGGCGTCCTTTAGATGGACAGAATCTTCGGTCATATGGCCATGACTACGATGAAAGAAGCAATACTTGCTTTGGTCGGTGTTGCTCTTTGATGCTGTCGGTTTAGGAAATCTGACCCCTCCTTGTTTGAACTTGATGTTGATTGTTCCACTTACATTGTGATAATGAAGCATGGCTTCAATGTTCTCTATATGATCGCCAGGATCCATGGTACCATCATAGAGAGCTAGAGAGGGAGGCTTCTCCAGCCCGCGAGGAATACAGGTGTCCATGATCTCTTGGGATATTGATCCATGGACGTCGTCTTCGCCGCTCGTGCTTGACGACCTGCTCGAGGAAGGACTAAACCCGCAACTCCTGCTACGTTGAGGAGAATGCATATGCCGACTACAATGTTTGTCAGGCTTCTTTGAAGGCCTAGTCTTCTTGGGTGCCGAAGAATGCCTAGACCTCCGATGAGGGGTACGATTTCGTCTTCTTGTGACCTTTTGCCTAGGTTTCTTCGAATCTGACCATATATATATATATATATATATATATATATATATATATATATATATATATATATATATATATATATATATATATATATATATATATATATATATATATATATATATATATATATATATATATATATATATATATATATATATATATATATATATATATATATATATATATATATATATATATATATATATATATATATATATATATATATATATATAACTTACTCCACATTATAGTCTTTGAATTGAATCTAATCTAATGATTAATTAAGTAAAAGACTAATGTAACCATTAGATTGGATTCAATCCAAAAGCTATGATTTGGAGTAAATTTAAAAGGCCTGTTTTAGCAACATGCAACTTAGGGTGTATTTAATTAATTATTAGTTATTAATTATTAACACACTCGTTTTAAAAAAATAAATAGATGTATTATAGAAAATGTCTAAAGGAGATGTTAATTTACATCCACTTACTTTTTAGAAAGAGTGTTTTAGTAATCTGCACCTAAGGTGCATTTAACCATTTTTTAATTAAAAACTTATTAAAATAGATCTTTATAAAAATAAGTGTGTGTATCCTAACAAATATATATATATATATATATATATATATATATATATATATATATATATATATATATATATATATATATATATATATATATATATATATATATATATATATATATATATATATATATATATATATATATATATATATATATATATATATATATATATTTATTATTTATTTTTTTTTGAACGTGTGCATTTTCAATTAGTTTAGTTTAGTTTTGTAAAATGGTATTTGTTTTGTATTTCGAAAAAGAAAAGTGAAAAATTACATAAAGAGGAGATGATAGAGCGTAATTGTCTGTCTGCCTTCCCCGACAATTGTTTGTTCTATTTTAAGATAATTGAGTTCCACCATCCATAAGTCAATCAAATTCTTGTCTTCAAATAATAATAGTAATAAATAATAATGACAACTTTTTCTCTTAATTCCTTTGTAGTGTGATGAGAAGAGAGAGAAAGATCCTGATCTCGTCTCCAAACAAGGTCATGATCTTCCTCCATCTTGCAACATTAATCTGATTTACATCTTTCAAATAATCAGTGTGTTAGATAATCACATATTTTGCAGCATATCGATAAAGAGAAATAAAATGGCTAGTCGATCATTTTCTCATTTTGTTGAGAAAGAAATGGGAAAATTCCCACACTTTGTGATCTATATGCTTCTTGAATGGATATTAATATTAATACTATTCCTGGATGGGTTTCTAGCATTCATTGCTAATGAGTTTGCAAGGTTCTTTGAATTGAAAATCCCTTGTTGGCTATGCACAAGATTCGACCATGTAATGGTTCATAGAAATCCAGATTTTTATTACAACGAGTCTGTTTGTGAGGCTCACAAGAAAGACATGTCATCTCTTGCATTTTGCCATAATCACAAGAAACTCTCGGACATAAGAAAGATGTGTGAAGGTTGTTTACTTTCATTCGCAACCGAGAAAGAATCGGATTGCGATACATATAAATCACTTGTGGGGATTTTGCATAAGGATTTGGAGTGTTTTGTTGAAGATGGACAACCTATACAACTGAGTTTGAAAGATGATGATGGATCCATGATGCAGGTTGTTGATAGAAATAGCCCTCAAAAATGTTCATGTTGTGGACAACCATTGAAAGTTAAATCTTCTTCTACATATAATGTTGCCAAAGGTAGAAATTCTGAATCATTTGCTCGAGCCCCGACTCCTTCGCCGCGAGCTTTTCCATATTCAACATCTGAATCTCATTCTCTACAATTACCTCATATTGGTTATACACCACTCAGGTTTATGTCACAAAATGACTCGGAGCTTCTAGAGGAAGATTCCAAGTCTGCCACTGCTCCTTTATTACCAGAACTAGGGGATGAAGATTCAAGCAAACTAACTCCAACATTTACGAGAGGTAACAAGTTTTTTGGAATCCCGCTTTCGGATTCAACAAACAACAGTCCAAGATGGTCTTACAAGTTTAACAAGAAAACGACATTAGAAAAGACGGAATTTGCTACATCTGAACCCAACGAGGTTCAGAATGATTTTGAAGATGCCATTCTAAACAATCTGAAGAGACAAGTTCGTTTAGACCGCAAATCACTCATGGCCTTGTACATGGAATTGGACGAAGAAAGAAGTGCTTCGGCAGTTGCTGCTAACAACGCAATGGCTATGATAACAAGGTTACAGGCTGAGAAAGCAGCAGTACAAATGGAAGCTTTGCAATATCAGAGAATGATGGAAGAACAGGCTGAGTATGATGAGGAAGCATTAGAGGCAACTAACGAAATGCTTCTCAAAAGAGAGGAAGAGTTAAGAACTTTAGAAGCGGAATTGGAGTTTTACAGAAACAAATATGGTTGCTTAATAGAAGAAAGTAGTGGTGGTAATACTCCTTCATTCAGGATCAATGAAGAAGAGAATTCAGGGATCAGTTCTAATCAACCTGTTAAAGGTTTTAAAGCAGATAAAACATATTTGCTTGGTCGCATGAAAAAGATAGAAAATAGACCATCATTTTCAGAAAAAGGAACTTACTCTGACCCTACTATTAACAATATAGATAGTGATACAGGTATTTGACTAAGAATTCACTTTGATTTTGTTTTTTTTTTCTTTTATAATTTTAACGTACTCTATATAAGAGTATGGCCATTCATGGTATAGCTTATTGAGAAAATTGACTTGAACTGAATCAAATTATAGTAAAAGTTCATCGAATTAAATCGAGTTGTTTCAATTTATTTAAAACTAAATCGAACTGAACCAAATCGTTTTAATTTATTTAAAACCGAACTGAATCGAAGCGAAATCATTGGTTTGATATACAGTTTTGTAATTCCAAACTATACTGAATCATTAGAAGACAATTTTTCTCAAACCGAACTATTTATTAAAGAATCAAACCGTTAAACTATTTTTCAAATTTAAAAAGAAAATTCAAAAATATCTCTTTATATTTTTCATTTTAAATTTTAGTTCGGTTCGATTTAAATTTTGTTTCCGTTCTAAAACTGTTTGTTTAATATGGTTTGGTTCATTAACCTAATCAACATAACCATTCATTTATTTTAGTCTCAGTTTAGTTTGGTTTGACAATTTTATATATATATATATATATAAATAAAAGAGAACACGTTAATAGTATTTTGTTTCGGTTAGTAGTAATTTATCTGTGTTGTGACAGAAAAAGGAGGCGAAGTATAGGTAGATGAATGAAATTTGAGGTTGTGCCCAACAAGAACAAAAAACATGTAGCTGGTGGTGAATATTTTGTGAGGTTTTTTTTTACTAAGGAAGAGGTCAAGTGTTGGAAACATGAACAAGACTTGAATTTCAAGCATGTTTGGGCTTACCTATCTTTTTCACTAGGATCATTTGGACAAACTTGTCTAGGATTTTTCTGTGTAGATGACTACTATTAAATATTTCTCTTTTGCAAATTAGTTTGTACTACTTTTTTCCGACATGGAAAATTCTCCATAAAAATAGATTTAGTATTTGATACTATATATATTAATTGGTGAGTATTTTAATAATAATAGTCACAACTATACAAAGTTAACATACCTAAAATATAACGAGGCATGAGGAAGGAAGGCTTTGCATGTTTTGTGCTTCCCCGACAACATGATCTAGTCGTTTCACCATGCCAATCAGGCTTAGTCCCTGACATGCCGTCTTCTTCCATTTATCATGTGACATAGACAAACACAAAACAAGGAAAGTATACGAATACAAACATCGTAATAAGGGAAGTAAATTTTATACATATTTAAGGGAACACACAAGCAAATAACAAACATCTTCTGAGTCATCCTCACTAAATATATTCTTATGTCCGTATGCGCCTACACTTACATGGCCAATAATAGCCAATATGCCAATCAAGCCTGGTACCTGGCCTACACTTGCAAAATAAGGAAGGTGTGCGAATACAAACATCATAAAAAGAAGGTAAGGAAATTTTATATATATTTAAAAGAATACACAGGAAAACAACAAACATATTTAAGAGAATACACAGAAAAATAACAAACATTTCAGAGATTCGACAATTTGTTTGAACAAAGTGACATCGACATTGTCTTCCTCTCCATGCTTCTCCAGCTTCAAATTTAATTCGACAGGTGAGAATGCATGATTCAAGTCTTCCATCCTTAATCTCTTGAGTATCTCTATGACAAACTTTCTTTGATGTAGCATCATACCTTGTTTCAATATTTAAAATTCCATATCTAAGAAATACGACAACTTTCACAGACCCAACATTTCAAATTCCTTCTTCATCAGATCTTTGAACTTCAACAAGTTCTTCAAGCTATTTCTAGTTACTAACAAGTCATCGACATATAAGCATATGATTGTTATATCTTGTGCCACAACCTGAACATAGACATCATACTCAGATATGCATTTGATGAATCCAAATTCGACCAAGTATGAGTCGATTTTCTTGTTCCATGTCCAAGGTGTCTGATTGAGGCCATATAGAGCTTTGTGCAACCTCTGTATCACAAACCCAGAAGGTTGTGTGTCATATACCTCTTCATCTAGAGAACCATTTAAAAATGTTGGTTTCACATCTAAGTAAAATATCGATCATCATTGTCACACCCCAATTTTGACCCGGAGTCGCTGAATAAAAAAGAAGAACATATGTCATAACATATGATCATCATATCCATTATTCATGTCATCTAACCATTGTGCATAAAGAATATGTACCTTTTATTTTCATGTTGTCTAAGCTCAGGTTTTGCAAGATTGAATCAAGGATCAAGTAAAGTTATTTAGTCAAGTGTGTGTGCGGCGTGGTTTGAAATTCAGTGGAAGTTTGACCTAATCTTGGTCGAAGAAGTGGTTTTCTTCAGTATCAAGTCACCATGCTATGGCAAAGGCAGTTTCTTTCATGGTTGAGGAATCATCAAAGTCTGCTCACTTTCAATTAGGGTTTTGGTGCAGTGGCAGCACAGTTCAGGTCACCTGTGTTATAGATCATTGTGAGAGCAAGGAGGTGTCAGATTCAAGAAGTTTATGTCTGAAAATCATCAAGTGATCAGAATTAGGATTTTGTGTCAAGTTAAGACTTATTAGATGAGGATTCAAGCTTTCAATTCAAGACCATTGCAAGATAGAATCAGGATGTAGGGTTTAGTTTCTTATGAATCAATTCAAGGTTTTCAAATTTCATGTCTTTCCAAATGCAAGATCCAAGTTCAAGTTAATAATCACAAATTCAAGATTCAAATTCAATTTCACTTCAAATTTCAATCCAATTCAATTTTTAATTCCAATTTCATTCATTTCATTTTCCAATTCAATTTTCAATTCTATACCATTCAAGTTTTTAAGTTCATTCTAAAAAAGCATATTCATTCGAGTTCAATGTCTTTCAATTTTCGATTTCCTTTCAATTTCTTTCAATTCATATTCAAGCTAATTCAAGTCCATTTTTTCAATTCAAGTTCTATTCAATTCGATTCAAATTTCAAGTTGCAAATTCAAGTTCAAATCTAATTCCAATCTTAATTCAAATTTCATGATTCAAATTCAAGTTTATTTCCAAGTTTCAATTCAAATTCAATTTCTTTTCAAATTTCATGTTCAAGTTTCAATCCAATTTTATTTTCAATTCAAGTTTAATTTCAATTTTATCCAATTCAAGTTTCATGTTCAAGATTGTTTTCAATCCAATCCAGGGTCATTCCAACTTCCATTCAAAATTCAAGTTCAAATCATTCAAAAATTCAAATCACAAATTTAATTTCTGGTCAAATTCATTCTCATTCCAAATTTAATTTAAATTCCATTCTAAACCCAAAATTCATGCCAAAAATTATAAAAGTCTAATTATAAAAAGAAGTTACAAAAAAAAGAGGGAGGCCCATAGAAAAAGCCCATGAAAATTGTGAGTATCATTGTCACATCAACATAGTTTTCAGCAAAACCTAGTGACACCATATATATATATATATATATATATATATATATATATATATATATATATATATATATATATATATATATATATATATATATATATATATATATATATATATATATATATATATATATATATATATATATATATATATATATATATATATATATATATATATATATATATATATATATATATATATATATATATATATATATATATATATATATATATATATATATATATATATATATATATATATATATATATATATATATATATATATATATATATATATATATATATATATATATATATATATATATATATATATATATATATATATATATATATATATATATATATATATATATATATATATATATATATATATATATATATATATATATATATATATATATATATATATATATATATATATATATATATATATATATATATATATATATATATATATATATATATATATATATATATATATATATATATATATATATATATATATATATATATATATATATTAATGTGGTAGAGATGGGAGAGAGCTAGAAAAAAATACATATAAGGGCAGCGGATATGTTAAAAAAAAGGGGGATTCCACAAATACTCCCAGACCATTTTTTTCTTCTGTTAGAACTCCTTCTGCTATCACCTACTAACCTTTTCCACCGTTCTTTTTCCTTCATCCACATTTCCATCGTTGCCATTTTTGTCCGCCCTTTCCTTCAACGAACCGCACCACCATCCCACACCGTGCGAACAAAATCACTTCTCCACCCTTATTTCTTTTCCGATTTCCCTCCGCCATAACCAACTTTGTTCTCAAAGCTCGATACCACCTCACTCCCTCCGCCGTGCTTCTTCGCCGACCAATCTACCCTTCTCTTTTTTCATCTGTACTTACTTCCATCGTCGCCATTTTAATCTTCCTCATATTCCTCCAGCCAAACCATAAGACCACTCCCTCATCCTTCCACAACCATAATCCACCGATCCACACCTCAAATCTCCTCCATGATTGCTGCATAAACCTCACCTTAAAACCATTTACGAACAATATTCTCTCTTCACATTCCTCCGATTCCATCAGCAGCGACAACACTAAAGCATCACATCCAACAATAAACTCAAGCAGCAGCGTCGTGATGTCTTCTTCTTCAACAAACAACGTTCGCAACCACGTTTGCTTTTCCATTTTGTTTGGTTCATTATTTATCCTTGAGCAGGTTATGATCCTGTCATACCCCAATTTTGACCTGACATTTTAAACTTTCACCCATCATACTTTTTTCTTGCTTTACATCATCTTCATAGCATAACATACATTTCATCAGGATCTTAAGGTGTCTGATCAGAGGTTTTTTGTTAACCTAGATTTCCGTTATTTAGAGGTTATTCTTTTGGTTATTGTACTTAAGTTTGAGGCGAAGGTGTTGGATTTTCAATCATCAAGAACAATTTCTACCTGTCAGTTCTTGATTGGCATGTATTTTGGTAACATCTGTCTGTCAAGATCAGCAGGTTGCTTTGGACTTTTTAACAGGACTTATCTCATGATGTCAACAAGATGTCTTGACAATCATGGACAAAACATTATGTATGATTATGTTTGTCTGTCCATTTCTTTATGTGCAAGTTTGCTGCACTATTCTGGCGTTGAATTTGCAAGGTTTTAGTGGTGTTTTAAAAGCGTTTCTGACACACTTAGTGTGGATCAGATTTGATTTGATATGGAGTTATTCTCAGAAGATTGATTGAAGATTGGATGAATGATTTGATTAGATCTGATTGATCAAATCAAATCTATTGCTATTGATGAAGATTAGAATCTTCTCAAAACCTGCTGTTACTTTTGCCACAGCCCAAGCCCATTTTGAATTGCTATTTAAAAAGGAGTAAACCCTAGATTGAAGGAAAGAGAAACAAGGATTAAAAGTGTGTGCATATTAATCCTTCGTGTGTGGTAGTTTTGTGAGTCATTCACTCATTGATAAATGTGTCAATTGGACTAAGTTGTTAATTATAAATTGTTCACTCAAAGCTTGTAAGCAAGAGTGTATTGTACTTGATTGAAGCTTTTAAGCAAGATCAAGTTGTGACTTTGAAGAGTTTCTTGTGCATATTAATTCTTATTTTATTGATTGTTATCACTGTTGTAATTGAGGGGGAGTGAGAGGTGTCTCTTGTCTAGGTGTGTTCTAGGCAGAAATTGCATAGGTAGAGATTAAGTGAGGAGTTGTAA